AAAAAAAAAAAAAAAAAAAAAAAAACACAAAATTCAAAAAATTTCCCAAAGTAAGTTTGGATTGAATGAAGAAAGTTAGTAAAGGAGGATCAAAACATGTATGGTTTGGTTTGGATAGGCAACTCTTCTGCTTCATCCTTTGCTAAATGCCTATCAATGGGAGTCACAGTATCTTCATTGTCCTTATTTTGTTCTTCATTCACTAATTTTGTGTGTTGTTGTACAACCAAGATTATGGCATTCCCCATGAAATCTGAGGACGCCAACACCTCCCCGATCGCCCCGAGTTCTGTCTGCTCATTCCACAGCACCAACCCTTGAACCAGCATCGAACAACAGCTATGTCGTCTTCCGACGATCACGAGATTGAAACTATTCCCCATTGAACGAAGTACCGAGACTGTTCCTGTGCCATCCATGACCACCTCTTCTATGTACATCACTCTATGGTTGTTTGTGGTAGCTTTTCGAAACTGGAGCACGGCCTCGCTGTCAAGCCTTGTCTCTTTGACATCATCCCTCACCACGTTCACCTTCTTCAAGAGTCGAATCAGTGTCAAGTTGATATTGGGATGTCCAGCCATTCTTGCCCCGACAAACATTGCCTCACGGTCATCAGCTCCACCTAAAAACACCACAGCTACTTGAAAAGAATGCAAGTTAGTTGCAGCAGATCTTGACAGATTTAGAACTCCACGGTCAACAACAAGGCCGACCGAGCACGGCGCCTTGTCGAGGATCTCATTGTTGACCATTTTCATGTCGTAGTTGGACAATGAAATGACCCCATTAGAGTAAAACTTCTTGTGAAAAGGAATAAGAATCAACGAAACGGTTTTTTTGAGCGCAAGCGAATAAACATCGTCATGCATGGTTGTAGATGAAGTTATTGAAGTAAAAGGGAAAATCGCAACAGTTTGACGGTTGTTCCGTCCAAAGTATGTGAAGGCATTAACGATATGCTTGGAAGGGCGCGACGTTGAAATCCTATCTTTCTTAAGATTGTGAGGAATGAGTTGCGAGTTAGCACGACCAAGAAGCTCGACAAGATGAAGCATATACACAATAAGATGGCTTCGTCTCGTCGGATTCAAGGCCTCGAGTAGGTTAATAGCATTCGGAACGTCTTCTTGGTCGTGAATACATATCAAAACACGAAGATCAGACCCGGGTTTCAAATCCATAACAGTTCTTCTCTTGTAAACAGTATATCTTCTCGAAGGATCAAACAGATATCTGATTATCGGAGTAATAACCGCAACCAAAACCATCAAGAAAATGCACATAACTGCAAAAGTTCCTCTATCAATCCTCTGCACAAGAACCAAAACGGAATGCAATGAGTTTGTTTCTAAGAACAAATCTTAGGTAATCAATGAACAAAACAAAACACCTTACCCCTTCCTTCCTCATCAATTTAAACATACCGAGCTCGAAAGCTCCTTGACTAGCCATGACGAGACCGAGCGACACAGCGTCTCTCACAGGCATTCTACAGTACACAACAGCAACAACAAGTGCGCCGAGAAACTTCCCCAACGCACTAACATAGATAACAAACGACACGCCCAAGAAGTTCTTGAGCTTGATGCTATAAACATTGATAACCAAGCCAAGCTTAACAAAGAAAACAGGCATGAAAACCCAAGAGGTAATGAAATCAAGCCTTTCCACTAAGGCTGAGCCAATGGGAGGGCCTGGAGGTATTGAAACACCAAGAATAAGAGGGCCAAAATAGATATGCAAACCAAAGGCCTTGCTGCTAAAGGCAGTGATAAGAACACCTAAAAGCAGAGCAACCACAAAGCCCTCCTTTAATGGCTCCCCTGTCGGGTTATTCATTATGATCCATGATGTCGCTTGTCGAACGATGAAAATGATCGTACCTGATACCACTATGAAGATAGAAAGTGATATCATGGACTCGGCTACGGCCCCGTTTTGTGGAGCTACCAAAGCTCCTATCATTAGGAAACAAGCAGTCCAGATAGTAGAAACCATTGAAGATGTTAGAGCAATTCTACCAAACTCAGAGTTCATCAAATGAAGCTCAGAAAGAAGGGAAGCAACCATGGGGAAGTTAATGAAGGATTCAGCAGCAGAAACAATGAGTAAAGATTTTGCAGTTTTGGTGTCAACAGAGTTCATCGAGGCTGTTGAGTAAAGGGATGTAAGAATCAAAGGCAAAATCACAGAAAAAGTCCCAATTCCAAGGGATTTCTTGTCAATTTTCTTCATAATTGAGATATCCACTTGAACACCAACCAGAAAGAAGTAGAATATAGTGCCAAATGAAGTAACTACGTCGAGGAAAACAAATCCCCTGAGGGGGAAAATTGTGTCTCTAAATGTCTTCATGTGGCTCAAACCCGAACTACCGAGAACTAGACCGCCCTGTTCAAATCACAAACCAATAAGATATCGAGATATACAAGAGGAAAAGCTAACGGGGTGTTCTTAGTTTTTGAAAATTAAGTCTATTGTGTTTCTTCTTTCTTAAGAAAATGTTTGAATTCTTCACGCTAAAAACAAAAACTATATCGGATATAACGTAAGAACTCATGGACTAAACTTGTTGAATGCCTATTTTCTATTCGATTCTCGACATGGGTTTTAGTTTTCTTAAGAAATCGTTTGAGTTCTTCACTCCAAGAACAAAAACTATATCGGATATAACCAGAGAATTCATGGACTAAATTTGTTGAATACCTATTTTCTATTCGATTCTTGACATGAGTTTTGTTTTTCTTAAGAAATTGTTTCAGTTCTTCACTCTAAAAAAAAAAACTATATCAGATATAACCAAAGAATTCACGGACTAAACTTGTTGAATGCCTATTTTCTCTTTGATTCTCAACATGGGGTTTCAATTTTCTAAAGAAATCTTTGATTTCTTCGCTCCATAAACAAAAACTATATCAAATATAATTAAAGAATTCAAGGACTAAATTGTTGAATGCCTATTTTCTCTTCGATTCTCAACATGAGTTTCGTTTTTCTTAAGAAATCGTTTGAGTTCTTCACTTTGAAAACAAAAACTACATCATTTATAACTCAAGAATTTATGGACTAAACTAGTGGAATGCCTATTTGTTTCATTTTTGCCTATTTGTTGTCATTTTTCTTACGAAATCATTTGAATTCTTAGCTCGAAAAACAAAAACTATATCATATATAACCAGAGAATTCATGGACTAAACTAGTTAAATGCCTATTTCTCTTCGATTCTCGACATGGATTTCATTTTTCTTAAGAATTGGTTTGAATTCTTCGCTCCAAAAACAAAAACTACATCAGATATAACCAAAATTCATGAACTAAACACGTAATTCAACGAAAACTTTCCAAGCAAGAAAAGAAAAGTTACCAAAATTTGAGAGACGATGAGGGGTTGGCCGAGGGGCTTGAGGAGCTGATGAAATAAGATGATAGTTCCAGCACAGATTCCAAACTGCAACAAAAGAAGAGGAACTGAGAATTCCAAAGGGTTTACGCCTGAGAAAACGCCGGTGGAATGAATCCGGTGGGCCGACGTACAGATAGTCGTGAAGTTCATCGATGTCCGACTAGCTCTGCCGCCGACGAAGGCGGCTAAATCGTCAGGCTCCATTAAAACCGAACTCATTTTCGAAGCTGGAAAGTGAGTGAAAATCCCTGAATGAAGAGAGAACAGAATCAGAAGGAAAAATTATTTGAATAATCTCTGTAGGTTTGATTGAATTCCAGGAAGCTCGAACTTAAAATATACTAACAATTACGCAACAAAATAACTTACTAACTCTAACTGTTCAAAAAAAGAAAGAAAAAAAAAACTGATAAGCCAACGAAATATTGTTGAACAGAATTAGTTTCAACACCCATTTTGAAGAACTTCTCAGGGAACTAAGGGAGAAGAAAGCAATGGAAGCCATTTTCGAATTTGGGTAATGGGAAAAACTTGAGCTCGAGTTACATATATAAATATCTATGTTTATTCGCGCGTATTAGTAAAATAATGTAGTCCATTTTGAAATTAAATTGTTAATATTTCTAATATTAATATTTAAAAACGATAATAATAAAATTTGAATTTTTAATAATTATATTAGTAAAACCTAATATATGATTATTATAAGTATTTTTACAAATTTTTTAATAGAGTTTATGTTAAAAATAAAAAAAAATAAAACGCTGTTCGTAAATTTGTAACTCTAATGACCTTTTCCGACATAGCTAATTTTAGACCAACCGATCTTCGAAAAGCCTATTTAAGATATGTAAATGGACCACTATCTGGAAAGGTTAAAGCCCTAGGATTGGACTCATCCCAGTTTCCACGGATGGAGGAGCAAACTCCTCAATAAAAGAGATGGCATCTACTTCTACTTACTGGAACGTTTGAGCAGATCATCCAGTTCTTCCTTCGGGCTAAGAAGCCCGAGAGATAAAACAAAAATAAAAGGAAGATTTCACAAGGACAGAAATAAAATACGTGACAGGGTCGAAGAAGGCTTTCCCATCCCCATCCTATAGTCGAACATCTCTAATGATACGTCCGCCCAAGTTCTTCGTGTGAGGATATGAAATCAAAAGTATTAACCATTAAAAGAGTGCAACAATAAAACTAGATCTGAAATCAGCAAATGAGTAGCAAATGAAAAGTAAACAAAACTTCTAAACTCTCTCATGATGATATTGAAGAAGCTATGACCCAAAAATAATTGCCAACTCTCATCTCTAAGACATTCTTTGAGCAGCTTCTTTGGCCAGAAGCCTCTCCTTTGCTTTAGTTTTAGCCTGGGACTTGGAACCCATGATTCCACCACCCCATTTCTTCCTGTACTCGTCATACTTGTCGTTGAAATTGGCCTAAAACAAACATCGGACATGATATTAAAACTACGCCAATCAAATCGCAATGTTAGCTAAGAAGCGATGAAAGCGATTATGTAAATCACCTTAATAGCTTCGAGGATCCTGCTGAACTCCAACTTATCCTCGTTCTTCACGGTTGTCAAGCACAATACTGATGCAGTCTTTTGATGGACAATCTGTTATAAAGGAAAATTAAAAGCAATGGTACTTGGGATTCAAAAGAGTGAAACGTAACGCAAATAAACGGTCATAGTTACCGCTCCCAATCGTGCTTTTCCCTTAACAATGCAGTATGGAATTTCCATCTTCCTGCAGAGGGCCGGGAGCCAAACAACGAGCTCAATTGGATCCACATCATGGGCGATCACCACCAACTGTGCCTTATTCTGGAAAGGGAGTTCACATCATGAGTATACATGATTCCAGGCAGTATAACGGTTGGATAACAAAAATATTCAAATGTACGACGACCGAACAAAATAGAACCTGCTCAATGAGATAGGTGACATGGTTGAGACCATATTTAACAACAATAGGTTTCTTGGCATCATGTGGCTTGCCTTCAGCCTCTTCCTGAGCTCTCTTAATAAGACGCTCCCTTTTCTGTGCTTTGTCCTCTGGCCTATACTTCAAAAGCATCTTGAACAGGTTTGTGGCTGTATACACATTACATATTGAACTTGATATCAATTCAAAGAACAGAGGTAAAGGAAACAGTATACATATAATCTAACCAAAACAAAATAAATGTTGACCAGGCACAATTGTTGGAATCAGATAAGGAATTTTCTATTACATTTTTTCCAATTGACCAAAGCGAGCAGCAAAAGTAATAAAAACCCATCAGTAAAAATGAAGGCACGGATCAATCAGCAACCAAAATTCAGAGACTGAAGTTTATGATCAGCAGTAATCAACTTTGAAAATATATTTGCAACGTCAAACAAGAAACAGTCTCAATGAAACCAAACTGAAACATCCAAAATTATGAAACATCTAATTAACAAGTAAAAATCATTGAAGGCATTAGAACCTCATTAATCAAATATGGTTAAAAAGGCATAACTTAAAAGAACTAGACAACAATCACAACTAAAATCTAATAGTTTACCAAGATTTTTGTCAAGGGTTTTAGTGAACTGATTCAACGCTGGAGGAACCTTCAACCTCTGCTTAAGAATCCTCTTCTTCCTCTGAATTTGAACAGCTTTTGGCCATTTGACGAACCTAGTCAAATCCCTCTTCGGCGGCAATGCACCACCAATTCCAAATTGCTTTGGCCGTTTCTCAAATAGTGGATTCACCACCTTCTCCTGTTAACAACACAACACTGTATTAAAAAAACAACCAAAAAAATCAGAACAATAATAAAAGAAAAAACATGCATCAAGGAAAATAATAACTTACCGCCTTCTTTTTCGCCAAAGCCTTTCCAACAGCTTTCTTTGGCGCCTTTAAAAATACAATAAAATAATGTCAGTAAATTCATTCCAGGCAAAGATGCAAACATCTAAGAAATCATAATGAGAACAAATCAACTATAACACACAAAGATGAAGGGGAAGATATTTGAACTTACATCTTAAAACATATAGATTTTTATCTCTCCTAGAGTCTTGAAAGTATTAAAAGATAGCATGGAAACACTTCAATTTTAGACAAAACCATTTTCTTCATATTTTGTTGCAACATAAAAATGGAAACTCTGCCCATCGGTACAACTAACATATTTTGATTACATAAACGCTTTTTTAGAATACTAAAATTCAAACAAGGGATTTGAATGCAATCAATAAGCTAATAAGTAGTAAAGGCCAGAAAACCAAGAGTGTTCATGAAATAAAACTAAGTGGGCAAATCCAAAAGGTGAATGTCTTTCAAGTCTCAACTCAGCCAAGCTGCCTAGAAAGCATTCTACAAAAGAATGCCAAAAACACATCACAGATAACAAACACATCAAAATAAACCTCTACCAAAAACTACTTCATATCAAAGTAAGCCAAACAGATTCAACGATCAAAACCTCGTGATTTCAAAAGCATCAAATGACACACCATTTTGTCCAACGATCGAGAGGAAAACTTCTCTCAAAACCTAATAAAAAAATTTATCTAGAAATTTCAAAACTAAAAATCACAGAAAACATAACAGCAATGCAACCATGATACATAGTTTTCGGGCTCAGTCATCCAAACAAAAACACATTCATGGACTGATTCTATTATAGCATCTGAAAACAAAAGATTGAATCTGAAAGCTCCAGAAACGCAAACTAAAGTGATAAACAGAATCAAAAGAGAGAAGAGAGTGGAGAGATTCATACCATTTTACCCGAGCCTGGTGAAAGGGCGATTGAGAAGAAGGATGGAATATAAATAAGCGGCGGCAAACTGAAGCAGAGAGGGAGAGCAGACGGCTAGGGCAAAATAAGAACAAGATGGGCTTATGTTCTTTTGGGCTTTCTCTAATATGACGGGCTGAAAAATATATTATTTAAAAATAATAAAATTAAATCTAATATAAAATAATAATAATTTTAATTATTTTTATTGTATTTTCAAACCATTATACCAATTATCCACGTGTATAATAATATATTTTAATCATTTATAATAAATTACATTCCCTTTTTTTTTTCTTTATTTTGATATTATCTTAGATTTATTTAATTTATTCATTTTATTGCACATTTTTTTATATGATTTTAGCAATTATTTTTCACAATATACAAAATATATACCTTATATCTTCAAATATTCTCTATATTTAAAAATTTAAAAATATTAAAAATAGTTCAAAAAAATTTAATCACCCGAATTCAATCAATTCGTACCGTTTAGGTTAAATTATAAACTTATTTGGGTAAAAGCTCAAAACAAAATATTTTACTTACATTAGGTGGGGTGGAGCCGGGTGTCTTCGGGCATGCCGTATGAACCTCGTTGAGTGTGTGACGTTGTGGTGATGTCTACTAGCCTTGGCCAACCATATGTTTTGAAGGCTAAGTGGTGGCAGAACATGCTCGGTTGGTTGGAATCAAGTGCTTTTGGGCATGCGACATAAGTCTTGTTGAGCATGGAATGTTGCAATGTTGCCTTCTAATTGGGAATCTCTGGTGTGAGGACTATGGATGGCTGGTACGACGATGAAAACATGATATCAATAGAGCTGGAATACCCTAAATTATCTTATAAATTATAAATATATATACCGCACATATTAGATTGCAACAAACATATTTTACTTATGGGGTGGAGTTGGGGTGTGTTCGAGTGTACGGCATGAACCTCGTTGAGTGTGTGAAGTTGTGGTGATGTTTGCCAGCCCTATGTTTTGAAGGCTAAGTGGTGCCATAACATGCTCAGTTGGTTGGAATCAGGTGCTTTTGGGCATGCGACGTGAGTATTGTTGAGCATGAAATGTTGTGATGTTGCCTTATACTTGGGAATCTCTAGTGTGAGGATTGTAGATGGCTGGTACGACGATGAAACATATATACATGATATCAATGGAGTTGGAATACCCTAAATTATCTTAAAAATTATAAATATATATACCGCGCATATTAGATTTCAACAAACATGTTTTACTTATAGGGTGGAGTTGGGTGCGTTCGGGTGTGCAGCATGAACATCGTTGAGTGTGTGACGTTGTGGTGATGCCTACCAGCCTTTGGGCAGCCCTAGGTTTTCAAGGCTAAGTGGTACCAGAACATGCTCGGCTAGTTGGAATCGGGTGCTTTTGGCCGTGCGACATGAGTCTCGTTGAGCACGGAATGTTACGATGTTGCCTTTTAACTGGGAATCTCTGGTGTGAGGACTGTGGATGACTGGTCCGACGATGAAACATATTTATACATGATATCGATGGAGCTGGAATACCCTAAATTATCTTTAAAAATAGAAATATATATATTGAATGGTAACAGATAGATAATAAAATAATTAAAATGATACTGATTGTTTCCCAATCCAATTTTGTGTGCATATCAAACATTCCCGGGATTTTCCGATCCAATAAATATCAATTCACATTATTCTTTAATTCTAATGAATTTTGCTTCTCAATACTAACACTGAATCACTCCAATTCATTTCATCGAACATGTTCATACTCATAGAGTTAGTATTGATGAGGGTTGAAGTTTTGAGACGGGGACCATAGTGAAAATTTTGACATTTTAGAAGGATTAAATTGTAAATATGAATATTAGTTCAATTATCAAATACCGAAAATTTGGACATGTTAGTTGAGAATATATAAATCATGTAAATATTAACTTTCGAAGGGCTAAACTACAAAGACATGGAGGGTGAGATGGAGACGATAGTGAAAATTTTAATAGTATGGAAGGACTAAATTGCAAATATGAATTAGTTAGTTCAATTATACGATAGCGAAAATTTTGACATTTTAGTCGAGAATATATAAATCAGGTAATTATTAACTTTTGAAAGGCTAAATTGCAAAGACATGGAGGCTGAGACGGAGACGATAGTGAAAATTTTAACATTGTGGAAGGACTAAATTGCAAATATGAATGTTAGTTCAATTATATGATAGTGAAAATTTTAACAGTTTAGTCGAGAATATATAAATCAGGTAAATACTAACTTCCGAAGGATTAAATTGCAAAGACACGGAGGGTGAGATAAGTGAAAATTTTAACATTGTGGAAGGACTAAATTGCAAATATGAATGTTAGTTTAATTATACCTTTTGACATTTTACTCGAGAATATATAAATAAAGCGAATATTAAGTTTGGAAGGGCTAAATTGGAAAGAGATTGAGCGAGACGAGAGCTTTGATTCCTTCCAAAACTGTACAATTTTGTTCAATCCATGGCTACAAATTTGGGCGAGGCAAAAGGAAGCTTCATCAAAAGGTAATCATCTTCATCGTTCGCCTAGTTTCCACACAAGGTATCATCTCTAGCTGATGGCCTGTAATTGAGCGGATTTAAGCTGTAAATGCAAATGTTTGCCTCTCTCGATTTGATCGAAATTTCTTCCGATGTGGTTCTGTATCCAGGGACGTTGCAAGATGACGATGGACTTCCGATCAAACTCGCTTGGCAGAACGACGCTATCGCTGAATCCTCTGCGCATCGGATTCCGTCCACCGAAGGTATTTCCAATCTGTAAACTCCGTATTTGTTTGTTGTTCTGTTCACTGAGAATGCTATCTGCTCCGCCGTACGCGGCGTTTCTGCTTTGAATTTGCAGCTGATTCGAACTTCTACACCTGATTTTTTCATACATAAACACACACGCAGTGCACCGACGGGTATCGATTTTATCAGTCTTGCTTTTGAATGAATTGCTGAATCAAATGCTCTTATTGAAATTAGGTTAGAAAATTGTATCAAAGAAGTTGAAAATCAAATTCAAAATCAGTATCAAAATGCTGAAGAAGATGAAAGTCTAAACAAACGTACAACATAACTACAAAAACCATTGCTCTTGAAAAGGAAAAAGAAGTCGAAAATCAAATTCAAAATCAGTATCAAAATGCTGAAGAAGATTAAAGTCCAAACAAACGTACAACATAACTACAAAAACCATTGCTCTTGAAAAGAAGATACTAGTTTCATCATTTGAATTCTAGTTCATGTTCAAGTTGTTGAAATCATGACTGCAAATGAATTTGAGCCTTACCTGATAAGAAGTAACTGTGTTTGGAGAAGGAGTTGTTGGAGCAAGTGTCGCAATAAACAAGGCCCATGACAGTAATCTGAGTAAATGTTCTTGTTCGGTGGGAATGAGAAGCCTGAATTCCCAATAGAAGGGAGCTTGGAACCAAGAAAGCTAAGATAAAGAGTAGAAAGAGATTCATGGCTAACTGTTGGAACAAGTGAGAAGCTTCTGTTTCTTTCCTCTTTGAAAGAAGTGCCCTCTGATGTTCAATGCATATCAGGATATGTAATGAAGGGTGGGAGTAGTAGTGGTAGTAATGTAAGCAACGAGCTTCTCTGCTTCAGCAGTTGGTGGGTAGGGATATAACTGAAGCAAAGGCAAAAAATAAAGGCCATTTAACATTTTCACAAGAAACAAAGACATGTGAAGATATTTTGTCAGTTTCCATGTGAACTTGAAGCGTAGGAAAGAGAAGAAAGTAGATTCTTTTGGCAGAATTATTGCTGATATTGCTTCTTGATTCGAGGGCCTAACCCAGCTAAACTCTCTTAATAGAGCTACCCATTTCAAACTAAAGAGCCAACCAACACATATGGACTTAATTCCTTTAAATTGTCTTGAGAAGATTTATACCCATCTCCTGTTTTTAGGTGTGTCAATTCCAAGTCTCTTGTGAAAAAAGAATGCCTGCTCTACATCTCAACCCTCAAAGATTCAGACATCTAATTGCTTTAAGTTTTCAAGCTTTGGTCGGTGACAATTATGGGGCTGTAGTCTTAGCCAATGTCAATCAAGCCAAGCAATCATAACTAGGCAATGAGATGAAGGTTAAGACATCTAACTGCTTCGAGTTTTCAAACTTTAGTCGGCGACAGTTACAAGGTTGTAATCTTAGCCAATGTCTAGAGCCAAGTGACACGATCATGCTCGTCCAGGGCGTATTGTCCATGGCCCCCATGTTCATGCCGCGCTAAACCCTCTATTTTGTTCCATGTTGTATTACCCTACTATTGTATTTTCTGTTTGTATAACTGTTCAGCGAAATCATGTCTAGGCCTGCTAGACCTAAATCGTCCCAAAATGTACTATAGAGGGGTGTGGGGTGTGGCTAGTTGTCAACTCATCCCCTAATTTTGTATGATTGTTCGGCGACATCACATCTAGGCATGCCAGACCTGAATCGCCTCATAATGTACCAGAGGGGGATGGACTAGTTGTCAATTCTCCCTACCCGAAAAACTTATATGCTACTTAAGCCGTTGTGTTGCCTTTTGCTTGTATGCCATAACATTGCTTTCAATCTCTCTCAATCTTGCTTTCAAATTCTCTTTCAAGATCTGTCTGATCCCATTTTCTAAAATCTTTTTCTCAATTCGGGGATAGAGGCTTGCATAAGTTGCCGAACTATAGGCAACACGAATACAAACTGTCTCGACTCACTTGCTGTTGAGAAGTGAATACTGCATAATCGCAAAGTCCACTACCAAAAAAAGTGTGATTGTGACATCATCAATCACACCATTGATGTTGAATGAAACAGTATTAGTTATTATTGCAGCAATCTCCAGAACCAAAGAGCCCAAAAACATGGCCAATGGGAAAAGAATATGGAGTGGTAATGGAGAATGACAGATGATTGAACGAGCCACTAAAAAAGGACTATGCAGCTCGTGATGTGGTGTGGGGCAAGGGATCGCACTCCAGATTCTGGACCCTGTACTCTCTGCAATAAACGTGATTTTAAAGGGTGAATTGGAGCAAACTGAGCGGTTGAGAATGCTTGTTGGTCGAGTCTTCTTGGGCAAAATAGGTCCCTATAATGTTTATGGAGAACCCTTGAAGTTTTTTCAAGCCTTTTGAAATTTGAAAAATGTCAGCCGGCTGTTAGATAGCAATAGCAGTATGTGGTGATTGCTTATCTTGATGCTCAGTGACTCACCATGTCGGTAAAATGCTACAAATAATGATGAATTAACTAATATAACTTCATGACACCGTATGTCTGTTCACCAAAATCATGTATACACCTACTAGTTTAGAAATGCCTGTATTATAGAGTGAGGCATCAGTTCACCACCTGACCTAGCACTCCACCACCCTTAAGCCCTGTGACCTAAGCGAGCTACCATGACACGTGTGTATCACAACGAGCCACCACCCCTAAGCTCTGTGACCTAAACAAGCTACCATGACACATGTGTGTATCGCAACGAGGACGAGCATTCCGAGACAAGAGGTCTCCCAAAACATGTTTTCAAGATCTAAATTATTTTTTTATTAAAAAGAAACCATACTCAGAATTCATTCTATAAATGGAACTCCATTACACAACTCAGAACCTGTTGCCTGTTGTTTTTCTTTTTCTACGGCAAACAACAGACAAGAACTTGAATCAGATTCAAAAGACCACACACCCCAATTCACACACCAGCTTTAACTTCCTACAGACCATGCTCAAGACTCCATACACTAATAGCAGAAAAACTATAGCAGGTCGAGTTCGAGCTGAGTTCAGACAGTTGACATACAAACCTCAGGATCAAGTTGATCCCCCCATTTCTTTCTGTAAAAATAATTTTGAAACAATCAAAACCGCCTACATTACATACTTCGGACTATTACTGATTCTATAGATTCACACGATATATATTCAAGTCACGCACGATCGACTTGAGAAGAACTATGTAATTCTCAGGGATGGGAACTTTGTTCTATAGTGATATTATTCTATTTAGCTACTACACATTTCTGTTACCCCACTAGGCTGGCTGGCTGACTTTATCCTCGCTTCAAGCTTCCTAGCGATTGATACCGACCTTCCTACAATATGGAACACGAACATACATTTTTTCTTGGGGTCTCGTCGATCTTCTTTTCTGTAGAGGATAACAAATTACGTCACAGTCTGTTGCATAGGGAGCAAACATTAATCCATGGAAAAGGGAATCTAAAACAAATGAAAAAGTGGGGAGAGAGAGAGGAAGAAATGAGAAAAAAATACTCATTACATCCACTGCTATAAAATTTAGGCTTTTCCTTCGGATTTTAAAACGCATCCAATAGGAAGAGGTTTCCACACTCTTATAAAGAACGTGTAAACACTGTGAAGATAATATAAGATGTTGGTTATTTCTCGTAATGCAGAAATCTAGCTATTAGCTACCTGTTTTTGCGTTTGCTACAGTTGGCTGCACCACAACATGCATAGTGATAACTCCCCTAGGCAGCTCCCCGAAAGGCACTCGACATTGACCAACAGTCTTGTTGTTTTCTAAAACTTTACCAGCATTTATCAGTTTTATGTCATTTGCTGCCTTGGGTACAACTTTCTTATCTACACAATACAAACATTTAGAGTAGTTAGGTGCATGCAGTTGAACAAAAAATTGAAGTAACTCAAAGAAAGGCAAAAAAAAAAAAAAAAAAAAACAATTTAGAGGAAGGAAATTCTTATCCCATTGTTGTAAAATACTCCTCTCAACCTTATGTAGTATCATCTTGAAACAAGTTAATCTCCCCTTTTCTTGGGAAGAACGAAACATTTTTTAGAAGGGTGTGGCAACCTCTCTTTAGGAGAGCCAAAACAGAAAGCCAAAGAAGACAATATCTACTAGCGAGGGCTTGAGGCTATTACAAATGTTATTAGAGCTAGACACCGAGCAATGTGCCAGCAAGGAGGTTGAACCCCAAAGAGGGTTGGACACAAGACGGTGTGCCAACAAAGACGCTGGGCCTCGAAGCAAGGTGGATTGGGGGGTCCCACATCGATTGGAGAAGGGAATGAGTGCCAACAAGAACGCTGAGACTCGAAAGAGGGTGGATTGTGAGATCCCACATCGGTTGGGGAGGAAAATGAAACATTCTTTATAACAGTGTGGAAACCTCTCCCTAGCAGAGACGTTTTAAAAACTTTGATGGGAATCCCAAAAGGAAAAGCTCAAAGAAGGCTTGCCCTATTATATTTATCTAAAATGGACGGATTCTAATAGCATTTCTACTCATTCAGCTACAGAAGGAGAAGGAAAAGGTAAAGATAAAGTTGGACGAATTCTCACTCTTTCGTAACTAATTAGGCCTCCGAGAAAACGTTCCGCTAGTAGATATTGTCCTCTTTGAGATTTCCCTGTCGGGCTTCCCCTTAATGTTTTTAAAACACAACTGCTAGGGAGAGGTTTCCACAACTTATAAAGCATGTTTCGTTCCCCCTTCCAACCGATGTGGAATCTCAACCCTACGGGGCCCAACGTCCTCGCTAGCACTCGTTCCTCTCTCCAGTCAATGTGGGATCTCACAATCTACCCCACCCTTCGGTGCCCAACGTCTTCGCTAGCACTCATTCTCTCCAATCAATGTGGGACCCCCCAATCCACCCCACCTTTGATGCCCACGCTAGCACTCGTTATTAATGTAGAACCCCTCAATCTACCTCCTTCAAAGCCCAGCATCCAACACCTCCCCTCGAATAAAGTACGTCTCCCCTTAATCAAGGAGGCTTGACACCTTTTCTTTTGAAGTCTTTTGTTCGACATTTGAGGATTTACCAAACTATTGGCACGACTAAGTTTAGGGCATGACTCTGATACCATGTTAGATAAACACGACTCTCCACTATGGTATGATATTGTCCACTTTAAGTATAAACTCCAATGACTTTGGTTTGGACTTCCCAAAAAGGTCTCGCGCCAATAGAGAAAGTATTCCTTAATTATAAACACAATCATTCATTTCATCATCCAACAATAACAATAAAAGGGTTGAACTCCCTTACCTTTAGGCCAGTCTGCAACAATTTTCTCCTTAACTATGGCTATAGTTGAAGTTGGGGAATAACGAAATGGACCAATATCCGATCCATCATAAAGTCGGAACTTCAACTCGATCAAATCCTGGTCCGGCATTTGATCTCTACCAATAAATCACCACCTTCATCTCCAGCACCAAATCCCCCTAAAAAAGAGGAAACACGCAAGCGCTATCAAATACCTAAACCAAGAACAAAAAACAGCCAATACTCAAACCGGCCGTCCCGAAGAAAGAGGGAACAAAAACAAGCTCACACAGTAATAAACTCAGCCAAATCACTAAACAAAACTATACAACAAACATCAAGAACCAAAAAACGAGTTCGGATTCCACAGCAACGAAACCGATCGATCAAGATGAATCGAAGTAAAGAGTTATCGATTCAATCCGTTTCGATTTCGTAAACATAATGCGTCAGAAAGGAACGAGATGAAGGGAATACCTGAGAAACGGAGATGTGGAGAGGGAGATGTAAGGAACCAGAAGGTTTATCGTTTTGGTGGAGAAATTGTTGAGAGAAACGTTAAAGAATCGCAGGAAGAGATCTTGAAATAAGAAAGAACCCTAGAATTTGCTCCGATCGTAAACTATTTTGTCCATCTTCTTCTTCTGATTCTGATTCGGATTCGGATTCGGATTCTTCTGCTGATTTGGTTTTTCCGCGCTGAGTTTTGATTTCATTGGCTCCCAACTTCCGTTATCTACTCCATTTTGGTTTGGATGATAACAATAAATCTAAAAAAATTGATTGATTAATTTTTTAATTCAACAATAGATTCAAATTTTCGTTTTTTTTTTCTTTTAATTGAGATAGCAACACAACATTATTTCGAAAATATATATAAAAAAATGAACTAAAATCTTATAATTCAATGGTAACGACCTAGATCCACGCCAGCAAATATTGTCCTATTTGGGTTTTTCCTTTCGGGTTTCCCCAAGCTCTATTGTCCCCTAGCAGATATTGTCCTCTTTGTGCTTTCCCTTTTAGGTTTCCCCTCAAGCTTTAAATGACTAGATATTGTCCTCTTTGGACTTTAAAATGGCTAGGTGAAGGGAAAGTTCCCCTCAAGCTTTAAAATGGCTAGATATTGTCCTCTTTGGGCTTTAAAACTTTCCCTTTTAGGTTTCCCCTCAAACTTTACATGGCTAGATATTGTCCTCTTTGGACTTTAAAATGGCTAGGTGAAGGGAAAGTTCCTTAAAACTTTCCCTTTTAGGTTTCCCCTCAAGCTTTAAATGGCTAGATATTGTCCTCTTTGGACTTTAAAATGGCTAGGTGAAGGGAAAGTTCCCCTCAAGCTTTAAAATGGCTAGATATTGTCCTCTTTGGGCTTTAAAATGAGTAGGTGAAGGTTTCCACAATCTTAAATGATGGTTTATTCTCCTCCCCAACCAATGTGGGACATCACAATCCACCCCTTCGGAGCCTTGCGTCCTCTCTAGCACTCTTTCCTTCCTCCAATCAATGTGGGACCGCCCCCAAATCCACCCCCTTTGGGGCCCAGCATCCTAATTGACACACCGCCTCGTGTCTAACCCCTTTGAGGAACAGTGAGAAGGTTGACACATCGTCTAGTGTTTGGCTCTAATGCCATTTGTAACGGCCTATATCCATCGCTAGTAGATATTGTCTTCTTTGGGTTTTCCCTTTCGAGTTTCCAAGGAAGGTTTCCACACCCTTATAAATTGTGGTTTGTTCTCCTTCCCAACCAATATGGGACATCACATCAATAGTGTCAATATAAGCATAGGAGTACATGGATTGAGTTCGAACAATTTTTTAGACCAACCTGAAATTTTTAGTTGGTTGGGTTGGTGACTCAAGCAACCTGAGTCAATCTATGGTATTCCATATCCTTGGTATCCTCCTACGGTCAAAGTTGTTGGGCCTTCCTACAAGGTTCTATAGTGTCTTCCCTCATCGCAGTATCTCTCGCTTCCAGTCGGATTAATAGTGGGAATTCTTCCTCTTTAGGTACAGTATGACAAGTGGTATCTGGTGATGATGTGTTGATTCACTGGCCTGACTATCTTTGAAGATCAAGAATCAAGGATATTGCAACCGGAGTAGAGTTCACAATCAAACACTATATTTTTTTATTGAATTGGGTTGGGCCGGATCGGATTTTTTATTTAAAAAAATTATTTATCTATACATTAATAATTAAAATTTAATAAAATTCAAATATCAATCCTTTATCGAAAGTAATATAAGTAAAAATAATGTCGTTTTTTATGAGTGGTTTTTGTCGGCGAAAATCGGTAGAGGAGGAGAAATCCGGTGTGATAAGGTGTATGGAAGGATGGTGTGGAATGATAGGTGAAAGAAAGTGATTGGTTGGTGAGAATGTAAGGAATTGGAGAAGCACGGTTTGATTTAAAGACGGCGGACCGCCGGTCTTGAATAAATAAAAACAAGTTAAAAACATGTTTTTTTTTTCATAAATTAAATTAGATCCATATTATTTTAAATAATAAAATTAGCCTTTATGAAAATTTTATCAAATAATTATTTATGAAATTTTGTCAACCATAATAAAAATAAAATAATAAACTTTTAAGATTTATAATCTAACCCTTCTAGCTATTCTGAATTGATCTAAACAACATAAAGAAAGGAGTTAGAGTCCGACTCTATCAGAAGAGGACTCAGTCTACTAATTGAGGTCTACGTCAAAATCGTCTAAAGTTGAAGGTAGCTCATTTCTTGAACGACGTGGGCAAAGAGAGGAGGAGTATTCCCTGCAATGACTACAACTGGTTCATCTCGACGTTTCTTCTATCATACAAACAGTGGAAGAACAACCGACGTAAATTAAGGCAGCCTTGACCCAACAAAATGAGATTCTAGCACAAAGTTCCTATGTCGAGATTGCTGCCCCAAAACTCAATTAAATGCAGTCTATCGACCCCCAAAATTGGAAGAAATTGTGGTATAAAAAAGACGTTAGCTACTCTAGAAGCACCGATAGCTACCTCCTCTCCTTTCACTTCTACCGTTCTTCATTTAAACCCAAACAATGTTTTAAGTTTTCTCGACTTAAGTCAAGTTGGGTTTTGAGCTCGTATTGCTTAGTTCGACCAACGAGTTGGCCTAATGATAAAATTAACTCAAATATAGAAAGTACTTCAGTTTTCTTCAAATCCGAATGTTGTTACATAAACACACTTAATCCTATTATAAAGAAGTTGTGAGCGTCGAAGGTGAAATAATTTAGCTTGGATAACCGTGGTAAAACTCTATTGATTTCAGATGTCAACGAAATCCTTCGGTGTCAAACAAATAAGTTGGTGAATTTTGAATCCAAATCATTATCAATTTTGACGGGTTGAAGAATAATTTGCTCGATACACAAACAGAAATGAAAATTTCAAACTCGAAAAACTCGAGAAACGAACACAGCTCATTATTACAAGCACCCAATTCACAATAAACATAACACAATTTGAAATTCTTCAGAGTCAAAGAGCGCCAGCATCTTTGAGGAGAGGGACAAGGGAGCCATTGATATGAGAGGCCATGACTCTATCCATGGAGCCAACAAGTTTCCCGCCGATAAAGACAGCGGGAATGGCAGGGGAGGAGCTTCCCATTAACCGCATCAACGCCTTCTCGATCTCCTTCCCTCTCGGGTCCTCGTCGAGCTCATAAACCGTAGGGTTAACTCCCATTCCACAAAACAGCTGCTTCACAGCGTGACACATGCAACATGAGCTCATACTAAACATGACCACCGCGTTCTCCGCCGCCATCCGCTCTATCCTCCACAACGTGTCGTTCCCCGAGTACGATTGCTTTGCTTGGTGCTGCATTTTGAATAAGAGAAGAAGAAGGCAAAGAAAAGCAAGTGAGGAGAAAAGCAAGTGAGGGAATTGTATTTATAGATAGTCCTAAATTTAATATTTTAATTTTCTTTTCATCATAATTACTAAATATATATATATATATATATATAATATGAGCGTAAATTAATGCCCTTGTTCTTGTTTGGCAATATTTCTTCGATTTCGTAGATTCGAGTCTCCCTTTACTCACATCAGAGGAACCGCCCTCACCAGACAAACGAACGGTAGTATGTAGACTCGGGTCTCTCTTTACCTACAACGGAGGAGCTGCCCCCACCAGACAAACGCTCTTGTATAAAAAAAATAATAGCGGACAAAATAAAAACAATAATCACCCTAATTATTTAAAAAATATAAAAATAGAGACTATTATAAAAATTATTTTAAAATTTTAAAATCATAAATATTAATTTATAATTTTAAAAAAATTATATATAGGGAAGAAATTTATAATTTGTTTAAAATTAATTATTAAGGGAAAATATTGGAATATAAAAGTGGGCCCACTACGTCTAGTCGTGACCTGGACAAGGAATAAAACGGAGCGTTTAGGTGACATGACTCAGCTTGTTTTATTTTACTCTTTAAATTTTATTTTATTTTCTCGAATATAATTTTATTCATGATTTCACTACACAAACACTTTTTTTTTTTTAATTTTTTTAAGTCAACTTCTTAATATAATTAATATTAGGGAATAATAACATTATGTTAAACGAAAAAAAATGTCATTTTAATCGAGCGAGAGTAAAAGCTCAATGTAATAAGTGAATGAGTTGGTTGTTTATCTATTCACGAGTCTTCAGTTCTAGTCTAGACTTTCTCACCCGAGAAAGTTCTTGCACAAACCCTAGTTAGACAAGTTTTAACATTTTTTTTTTGTCGTTTTCGATATCGGTCTATGTGAGATCCTACATCGTTTGTAGAGGAGAAAGAAATATTCCTTATAAGAGTGTAGAAACTTCTCTCTAGTAGACGCGTTTTAAAATTGTGAGGCTAACGACGATACATAACGGGCTAAAACGGACAATATTTGCTAGTGATGAGCTTGAACTGTTACAAATGGTATTAGAGCCAGACACCGTGCAGTGTGCTAGCGAGCATGCTGTTCTCAAGGGGGTGGTTTGTGAAATCTTATATTAGTTGGAGAGGGGAAACGAAACATTTCTTATAAGGATGTGAAAAACACGTTTTAAAACCCTAAGGTTGACGACAATACGTAACGGGAAAAAGTAGATAATATCTGCTCGGTGTGAGTTTGGGTTATAGTCTATTTTACCTTTTCCAGAAGGAAATTTTGAACGATCAAAATTCATCTTTTCAGATAATTCCTAAATAATTAAGGAATAATACATGTCCTCGGCTACGTGATACTTTGTATTTGGACTCACTTGTTTGAATCCTTCGTGTCCCAATTGACAAGACATCCCCTTTTTCCCTACCATACATTTGAACCCTAATGAAACCATCAAATATACTAAACAAAATAGGGAAATAAGTCGAGTAGGATATACAATTAATAGGGATAGGAGATGTTCAATTCAATAAATTTGGTGACGATTCGAAAAATTCAATCAATCGAGCTTCGATGGGACACTGTGCATGATTTGAACCGGTACATAGTTCTTAGCTCCTAAGCAGACATAAGTTGAAGTTGTAACCACAATAGTAAAATCATGTTAGGTTTGAGAACATAAGATATAATGAGTATCATTTAAGATGGTCGAGTCGAATGCTACGGTAAAAACAAAGAAAAAAAGAATGCCTTTTTGATTCTCGTGAAACTATTAGCAGTTTAAAGTGAAAAATCACATTCGATCTTAGAACATGACAGATGTGAAAGGACATGACACAAACTGTTTTAATGGATCGAGGGTAATAACTCAAGCTCACCACTAGTAGATATTGTCCGCTTTGACCCGTTACATATCGTTGTCAGCCTCATGGTTTTAAAACGCGTCTACTAGGGAGAGGTTTCCACACCCTTATAAGGAATGTATCGTTTTTCTCTCTAATCGATGTGAGATTTCACAATCCACCCCCTTAAGGGCCCGACGTCCTTGCTGGCATACCGCCTAGTGTCTGGCTCTGATACCATTTTTAATAGCTCAAGTCCACCGCTAGCATATATTGTCCTCTTTGGCCGGTTACGTATCACCATCAGCCTCACGGTTTTAAAACGCGTATACTAGAGAGAGGTTTTCACACCCTTATAAGAAATGTTTCGTTCTCCTCTCTGACTGATATGGGATCTCACAATCCACCTCTCTTGGGAGCCCAACATCCTCACTGACACACCATCCGGTGTCTGACTCTGATACCATTTATAACAACTCAAAGTTCATCACTAGCAAATATTATCCACTTTGGCCCATTATATAACGTCGTCAGCCTCACGATTTAAAAACATGTCTCATAGGGAGAGATTTCCACACCCTTATAAGGAATGTTTCGTTCTCTTCTCTAATCGATGTGGGATCTCACAATTCACCTCTCTTGGGATCCCAACATCCTCACTGACACATCGTCCAATATCTGACTCTAATACCATTTATAACACAACAGAAGTTCACCGCTAACAAATATTACGTAACGTCGTCAGTTTCACGGTTTTAAAAATGTGTCTACTACAGAGAGGTTTCCACACCTTCATAAGTAATCTTTCATTCCCCTCTCAAACCGACGTGGGATCTTACCTCGAGACAATATTTCAACTGCAAATCGAAACTGAAATAAGGTCAGATTGAGCTCCAACACTTATCTGTATATTTGAGTTCGGTTTTAAAATTAAAATTAGGTACGGTTAGAGGTATATATTTTTAACCCGATCGAGTTTAATAGATGAAGTGAAAAAAAAAAAAAAAAAAAAAA